CCACAAACGTCAACGTCAAACGCCGCCAACCAAACTACCCCCAACCCTTCTATCTGCGCATGACCCACCATCACCACATGCTCTCCATACCACCCGTCAGCACCCCCGTCAGCACGTACCTCTCCAGCTCAGCTGTCTACTTGGCACGCGCATGACGAACTTCCTGCGCAGCCGACAACCTCACTCCCTACCTCTTCCGTCTGCACACACAGGACAAACGGGGCATCCGTAGGCCACAAGCTCCGCAGGCACCGCAAACGCAACGACTCCCACTACCTCCCCAGTTTCTTACATCTTTTGCCTACTCCGACCGATTTAATCAATGCGCGATCTACGGAGTACGCCAGTGCGCACACCATCGAAGCACCCGTACCGTGCGCCCACAGAGCTGCCCATACACAAGGAAATTATATCTCTCCTTCCAACGCGCTCGCCAACCTAAACCTCAACTGCCCGCGCTGTCCCTACTAGGTCACTGCCCCGCCCACGTTCGCTACGCAGCTCTAGCACCCCTTCATCATGAACACACTACGCATATCACCCTTGTGCAATGGAGACCATATCGCCAACCGCAAACCAACCAGTAATAAAGGGAAACAAAGTATAAAAAGCATTCACAGTGGCACGACCTCGCTATTGAACAGGAAATGCAGTGCACCGCTGCATTCATCGGCACCTCCTAAAAGGGCAAACCATCCCCCCAAGCCGAGTATCTCAGCCACCACGGACTGATGACTCCCAAACGCAACGATACGCAGTTATTCTTACGCGGGCACAACACAACCTGTCGACGACCCTAACACACTCTCTGCAGGTCCTGCAAGCCCGCTCTGCTTCGCGTGCTTCGGTGCACTCCTCAGAAGGCTCACATTCCACAAGCTCAACTGATGGCACAAACGCAGTCTCTTCCACTTCACTTCCGTTTCCCCCATCAGTCTCCAACTGCTCCTATCGAAATAACCAGCACGCAAATCAACAAGACACCGCATTGCGAAAACCATCCAAGTGCCTGTACCACGCGCCCTCAAAGTCATCCACACACAAGGAAGCCACCCACATGCAAGCGCCTTACTTGCCTCCTACAAGCGCGGTCGCCAACGTGAACTCCACCAATCCAAGCTCTCGCCTCTAGTCGCCTCTCACCAAGCCGGCATCTCCTAGCATGCAGCTGGAGTACCGTATCATCCGCAATCGGCAGGCATCAATCCCCTTANCAAGCCGGCATCTCCTAGCATGCAGCTGGAGTACCGTATCATCCGCAATCGGCAGGCATCAATCCCCTTAACTGATAATTAAGCATAACAAAGACTTCCGCACACGGCGTCATTCACGAACGTGCGATACGAGCAATCTAAACAACCTCAAACCAACAAACAACACCACCCGATGACATACGCTGCGACAAATCCATGGACAGCAGATATTGCATATCACCACCCAAAACAGAGGCTGATCCAAACAAACAAACAGCCTGCCATGTTGGGCACCTCTAGCCTAACCAAGCATTCCAACGGGGACCCAGTGCCGGCTCCCAAATACAACGCTGAACAGCTGCCCTTCTCTAGCGCTGGCACGTGCTGCCCCTCGAACGACCCTAACGCACTCTCTGCAACTTTTGCACTCCTGCTCTAACCCCTCTCCTGTTGGTCTACATATCACGTGCGTAATGCATTCCCTGGCAAGTATCGACCAGGCTGGCTACAACTCCATATCTATGTGAGCTTCTTTTCTTGCCCATGGCTCTCATCCAAACCCATCCCACGCAAATAAACGTCGAACGCCTCTAACCAGCCTATCCCCAAAACATCATCGCAATCTAGCATTCACCAGCACATCCCTTCCATACCTCCCGTGAGCACGCATCCCTTGCGCTCAGTACTCTACGTTGCTCGCGCCTGCCCCACTTCCTGCGCAGCGAACGACCTCGCTAATTACCTTCCTCTTTCTTACGCACACACCGGACGAACGCGAAATCCGTAAGCAACGAGCTCGGTAGGCACCACAAAACCAAACGCCTCCACTCTTTCCCAAGCTTCGTACACAAGCTACCTCCTCCTCCAACCTAAGCAACGCGCAACCGCCGCAACACACCAGCGCTCACACGTTGGCTAGCGCAGCGCAACCATCCATGTCACGCGCCTTCAAAAGGGCCCACACGAGAAGAACTTATGGCTATCCTCCGCACGCCCTTGCCAAGCTACTCTCAACTACCAGCAATGCCTCGATTCACCACGGTCACCTGCGCAACGCTTCGCACACGCCCTTCTCCAGAGAAAAATGCTCAACCCGTCAAACCACCCTAACGCACTCTCTGAAACTCCTGCACACCCGTGTTCCAACCTCCTGTTCGTCTACATATCACGTGCATACGCGTTCTGGCCGATATACCGCAGTCCGGCACTGCCATCATAACTACGCGCTTCCTGTCTTCCTCACAGCTGTCCTCTGAACCACACAAATCGGCGTCGAACGCCACTAGCCAGTCTAGCCCTAAACCATCTTTTCTGGGTACTACCCGCCACCCGCGCACCTCTTCCAAACCGCCCGTCAGCACACATCCCTCGTGCTCAGCTGTCTACTTGGCACGCGCTTGACGAACTTCCTGCACAGCCAGCAACCTCGCTCACTGCCTACCTCCTCCCTGCGCAGACACAGGACAAACGCGAAATATGTAAACCACAAGCTCCGTAGGCGCCACACAACCAACCGCCCCCACTATTCCAAAGCTTCGTACGCCAGCTACTTCCTCCACCGACCGGTCCAAGCGCCGCGCAACCTCCGCAGCACGCCTGTGCGCATACGTTGGCTAGCAAACTGCAACTATCCATACCACGCGCTTTCATAAGCACACACAGACAGGAACGTATGGCTGCGCTTCGCATGCTCTCGCTAAGCTAGGCCTCAAGTACCAACAATGTCTCCACTACGGCGCACTGCCTAGAGCTCCACACCTGCCCATCACCAGCGCAAAACGTTCAACCCGCCCACGGACCCTTCCGCATTCTCTGCAAAATCTGGACGCCCCTGCTCTGCCCACGCTCCTCCAAAGCTGCCCAAACGACAACTACTCATCTCTGGCTTTCCACGCCCTCGCCCTCGCGAAGCTATTCGTTGACTACTGCCGATGTCTCCACTGCGGCGCACTGCCTACGCCTCCACACCTGCCCTTCTCCAGCGCAAAATGCTCGACCCGCCGAACCACCATATCGCACTCTCTGCAAGTCCTGCACGCCTAGTATTTCCTCGTCCTGTTAATCTACATTTCACGTTTACACGCATTGCCTGGCGAATCTCGCGCAGCCCGGCACCGCCTGCATAACTACCAGCTTTCTGTCTTGCAGATGCCTTTCCCGTGACCCCATCCCACCCAAATCAACGTCACACGCCGCCAGCCAGACTATTCCCACATCATCTCCTCTGCAGAATACCCACCATCACCACATCCTCTCCATACCACCCGCCAGCAACCACCCCTCCAGTCCAGCTGTCTAGACATAGCAAGCGCTTGACGAACTTCCTGCACACCCAACAACCTCC